GAGCGCTCCTCCCCAGCCAGCTGAAGAGCAGCCCGCGGCCGGCAGCGGGCTCTGGCTCCGCTCCCCAGTCCTCTCCCCTCCCCTATTCCCCCTCCCCTCCTCCGGCCCCCACTCCGAGCCGGCACTCACTCGGCGCCCATGATGTCATCCAGTGGAAATCTGCCATGCTCAAAAACTGGAATAATCCAGCGCTCACGCGGGGCGCGCAGAGAGGGCGGAGGCGGCCGCGGAGCCTCCGGGAGTTCCCGGAACCTGACCCCCAGGTTAGCCGGAGCTTGAACGGGACCGAGCAGAGGAGGGGTCTAGGAAAAGTAGTTCGGAGAGTGCGGGCGGGTGGGGTGAGGGTGATCAGTGGGTTCGGTAGGGATGGAGCCCGGGACCAAGAGCGCGTTCGCTGATGATTCCCAAATCAGCACTTAGACGGCTGACGCTGGAGTAAAGAGAAAGTTTTCTAGGCTTCACGGGAGCCACACCACGGGTGAACACCTGTGCTGCAAATAGATTGATGAAACCCTTGGGAACCCCGAAGCCCCAGTCGCAGCGAGAAAGTTCAGGATGTCTGGGCAGCGCCAGCCTCAGTGTCCAGCAGCTAGAGTATGAAGAAGGGTGTGTATTTTTTATGGGCAAAGGAATCAGAGGCAGCAAGGTGGGGTAAAGGTCTGGGACAAGCACGCTAAAAAGAGCGCTTCCCAGGGGCAAAAGGGCACCAAAGGAAACTCACCTTTGGCCTTCCTACTGCACTCCGATCCTCCCACCAAATACTCCTACAGCCGAAGTCCTTTCCCATGGGCTGCAAGCATGGATGGAACTATGCAAATCTCCAGAGATCTATTGAAATAATAAAATATGTGATGCCAACTCTTTTTGTTCAGTGTTACATATTGGTACAAGTTTATTAGAGGAATAGAGGCAGACAGCCTCAATACTTTTGAAGATTCTCCCGTATTAATAAACACCCACGTGCACACACACACACACACACCCTTCAGATCCAGGCCTACATCCGTGTAAAGCAGCTTCAAGTTAAAACGCTGGCTGTTCAGTCGCCAGATCTCAACAACTGGAAGCGCTCTGACCCATCTGTGCTCTACTGCCTATCTTCTATCGCTCCCGGGAGAAACTTAGATTGCAGAGGACAGTACTCATGTCAGGCTTAGGCAGGAACATGGGTGCTGTGTGTCTGGGAACATCTGTTATCCTGTAGCAGTGTAGCATTTATCACAGATATAGGTACGATTAGAAACTCCTCAGTCTTTGTCAATACAAAGAGGATGCCATACAACAGCAAAAACAATAATGTCCACAACACTTTGAGGGATCCTCAGTATATTAGTCTGGTCAATACATTGTGACATTGTGAAATCAAGGAATCAGAGTATAGCTCATTGGTAGAACACTTGCCTAGCATGCTCAAGACCCTGGGATCATCTCCAGCACGACAAAAAAGAAATTGTAAAGCCTAGTGGGTTTGCTAAGGAAAAGATAATAAATGAAGTGAAAAGGCAGGATCAGAAATTACTTTTAATAATAAAATATCAAGCCAGGTATGGTGGCGCACGCCTGTAATCCCAGCAATCTGGGAGGCTGAGGCAGTAGGATAGCTGTGAGTTCCAGACCAGCCTGGGCTGCGTAGTGAGTTCCAGGTCAGTCTCATCTACATAGTGAGACCCTGTTTCAAAAAACCAAAAGAATAAAAAATTTAAAAAAAAACAAATAATAAAATATCAAACAGCATATAGTGAAATCTAGAAGTATAAACTTGCATTTAGCTGTTTTCATATTAAATTACTGTAGATAATAGTAAATCTGTATGCCGTGTTACTTATATGTATTATAACCTTGCTAATCTTACATTTTATTGGAAATGTTTTTATTTTTAAAGAATAATCACTATTTGTTCCTATGAAGTACAAGAGAACATATAAATTGAATAAACAATTTCTAGACACAAGTATTTTAAAGGCCAAAATAATGAAGATTTTTTTAAAAAAAATCTGAGCAAATGGGAAATAAACTGGACAAAAACATTATGAGAAGAATTTGGGATGTTAGCAATGGCAGTGTTTGAGATAAGAAAATGAATCAATTGCTTGAAAAAAGTAATTAGAACTGCTAATGATGCTGTTCTAAGTATATCAGAAAGTCGAGTTGTAAACTTTCCCTCCTAGATTGGTTCTTTGATGCCCCATCTATCTTCATTGTTTCTGTTTATCTTGTTCTTCAGCTAAAGGACAGTGTTGAGGCTAAAGGACAGGCATTGAGACAAGACAAATGTCGGGTAGCTGGCAGATCTAGGGATCTTAGTAGCCATAAAGATCAGAAAATGCATCCTTCAGTATCTTTGTTTCAAATCACTGCCCTAAAGGATGAAAGCCAAGCCTATATCTTTAAGAAACATGAAGTACATTAATATATGATTAATTTATTGGTCCTATGGAAAAGTCTTCAGTTTTGTGACTGGGCTTCTCGGAGGATTAAAAATACTGTGCTATGTCCATCCCTGTGACTCTTAATCTTCCCAAATTATTTACAAGATCTCTCCCTGTCTGTTTACCTACCAATATCCTTGTGCCAGTGGTATTCCCCACTTCTGATGCAAGCTTTTATTTCTTCATCATTTTGAAAAGTCATTCTATTTGAATATTTTAAGATATTTTTATCTAAATGGATGGCTAACACGACCAAAATTAAAACATTTTATTGTTACCTTAGAAAATAAAAGTGTCACGTTTCTTAGAAAAAAATTACATCCAAAATCTTGCCTTACAGCCCTAAATCACATTCTAATCTTGGTTAAATGATGAATATAGTAAACCTTGGAATTGAAGATTTAGAACGGATATATGAACTCTGCCTCAATTATTGATGCTCTGCTATACTGTCTTCATGATGACACATGATTCTCTTCCCAAAAGCAACCAGTGCTGCATTTTGGTAGGAAAGAAATAGATATTGTAGATCCCACCAAATTATAAACTTCTGCACTCTAGTTTAATTTAAAATAATTATAACTAGCAACTATTTTAAAATCCTAGTGTTCCTAGAGATTAGTGTGTTATATGTTGACAAAAAACAGAACTATTATTATTAAGCCCTTATGATGTGCCAATTACTATGCTAAGTCATTATATGTCACACGGTCTTCAAATAACCCTATGTTAACCTCTCTTGAAGATGAGGAAACAGACCTAGAGAGACTATAAAACTTGCCAGGACAGACAATTGAACTAGTACAAATCAGATCTTTACAAATGGAAAAGAGACCAAGAGGTAGAAGGAGGCAAGTATAAAAGGGAAGAGGAAGATGTAAAGAAATTAAGATGTGGTATGCACATGTATCAACTCCCCACAATGAATGTAATCTTCATGTATTGCAAACATGTACTAATAATTTTTTTAAAAAATCAAATTTACAATTTGATTCTATCATTCTAAACATACAAAGACATATAATAGTAGAATATTGTAATCTTTGCACAATTTTTCCTCTAAAAAATGAAAGCAAAGTGATACACATGTATACATATACTTACATATTATGTTTATATTTTATTTGGTCAGGAGGATAATACAGTTTAGTGAACTTTTCTATCAGTCACTAAATTCATTACTAATTTTATTTTTTATCTCTATTAAAAATAGGCTTCCATTTTGATCCTTATTTACACTTGAATGTAACTGTATCGCACACCTAAAATATACCAATCAAGAAAAAAACAATAGGCTTCCAAATTAGTTTTGAAGAAAACAACTTTGGGAAACTAAATGAGTTTTACTTTGTAATGTAGCATTAAAGAGTTTTAGTCGAAAAGCAAGGTACAGTGATTCTGTACTGGGAAATACTACTTTAAAATGAAATAAGATAGGAAAATAGTCATAAGCCATTATTTTAAATAAAGGCAAGGATTACCTCAGCAACTATCTTCTCTGTTCTCTTAATCCACTTGTGGATCTGTGAAAGTCAACTACATTACCCATCTCAATGGAGGCTGTCTTCCATGCTGTGAATATTAACAAGAAAAAGAGATTATTTTATACTTTGGATCTCAAAGGCTTCATGTCTGTATCACAGAAAGTAACATTCCCTGGGCACAGAAGTATAGCCAAGCTTCTTTAAACAGAAAGATTTGTTTGTTTGTTTTTTTTCAAAATCTTTATCTTATCTCTTTCGGTAATTGGCTAATATTCAGCAAGTGTTAACAAGGGTTATTTGAACAGATTTGTGAAAAAGTTCAAAGGCACATAACAGATGGTCATCTTTCAAGGTATCTTGTTAATCTAGCTTCTTCTTTAAAGTTAACTTCTCATGCATAAAATAAGCAGTTTAAACAAATAATGAGAATCTTTGTTTGTAAGATATGTTAACAGGTGTAAATTTATTTATTGCATTGATATGACCTAAATAATAATGTTATTTTGACTTTGGCCCCAGACATTCTTCTATCATGAAACATTCTTATTAATGGGGAGGGGGCCTGTCCCATGTCTATAAGTTCATTTGCCTACTCCACTCTCAGTGGTGCTGGTCATGGACACTGACCTGACATAAATTAGTGGTCATTTATTAATGGCCTTTGTTTAAGGTCAGAATAAAGGATGAAAAATGTTTCCTTTTAGAAAGAATTCATACTTCAAAAAACAGCCTCATTACTTGTACAAACAAAATGGTAACTCTATGTATGGCAATAGCAAGCTATGAATGAACATATTTAAACACTTTGCCCCTAAAATGAAAGTACTTGGAAAATAGAGGTGCTGATTTTACTTAGCCTATGTCAGTCCCTCCATCTCAGAGCTGAGATTTTTTCTTAACCAAATGCTTAATGTAGTCTAGTAATAACAGTATCAGTGATTGCCTGCAATATTTCTACCCAAATCTTATTGTGATCATGTATTTTTCCTCAAATTACTTTAGTTATTATGGTAACTTCATTTGTGAGCATGGAATTAAATACAACACAGAAACAAATACAACTGGGAGATCATTTTCTGATTTTTGAGTCATTATTTTGAGAAAATATAGGGTACACAGTGTATTTTATATACTATCTTCACCGGTGAAATTAAACACAGCAAAATGTCTGCAGTGAAATGGATGGAAGTTAACATCACATATGATAAAATAAGCCACCTAGCAGTTCAGATTAGGTTCTGTCAAATGAATTGTGAACAGTTTTAATGCTTAGAGATTTCTGGACTTTGGAATTGTGCACAAGCATCTTATGAGGTCCTATTTTGAGTGCTTTATATTTATTTACTTAAGACTCACAATAATTTCCTAAGTAAGGTATTCTTATTCCTCCTCTTGTATACTAGAGACACCTAACATATGGAGTAATTAAATAACTTGCATTGCTTGGTTTGTGAACCAAAAGAAGTCTGAAAAGATTTTTATAAACATTACAAAATACATTTAAAGTAACTGTAATAAGAACATAAACACAGGTGTTTATCTTAGTAAGTAAGACATTTCTGTTACAAGCAATGAAGCAAATTACAAATAAAAATAATAATATATTTTGTCAAATAAGATACGAACTTTCTAAACAGAAATAACACATCATATTTTATTGCTTAATAAACTAGAATATGATTGGCATAGTCAACATATAAAGAGCTCATCTACATCAATGAACTGTACTACAGATTCAGTAGAGAAAAAAGAAAAAAGGTTAAAAAACAGAAAAGAACTATCATAGGCAGAAACTAAATGTTAAAACTGAAGTTTAAAATTCACGTTAAAATGAGATCTAGTGCCTCAAGTTACCAAGTAAGGTTTTTTATAACTTATAGCACTCTTTACAGGTGAAAGAAGAACTTTATATATTTTTAGCATACACTTACATTTGTTCAGGCTTTTGAGAAAGCCAATGGCAGCATATGCCAAATGCTTTAAGAACTCCCAAAGATTATTTGATTTTATGAGATCTCCCATAGAGATGTAGAGGGAAAATGCTTATCCTCAAAATATTCATTAAAAATAATTTCGGGTATGAAAAGGGAAAATCAGAAATTTTAAATCCATTGTCGTGATATCAGTAAAACAACCTCACATGTATAAGGTTGAAAGAAATGATTGGACTGACCAACGTACTACTTTGCAACATGTTGCTGAGTCCAAAGAACAGGCAATGGTACAAATTCATAGTTAGGTTTCCTGATGTAACATTAACAAGATCTCTACAGCTGTTGCCAGGGAACCTCACATCCTTAATCCTTGTACTGAAGCAGAGTAGTTTCTCTGCAGGTGTCCTCATCCAGGTGGGACGGTAATTTTCACTGCAAAGATATTTTTTGCCACAGTAAGTGATGACTGGCTGTGAAATTATTATGTTTCACTGTGGACTTGCATGCTGTCCCCTTATTCAAACAAGTTGCAAATATTCCAACTTCAGAGCAATATTAAGTCAGAAACCTCTGGAAACTAGATTAGCCCAACCATAGTCTAACAAAATAGCAATCTCAACCATTAAATATGATCTTTTTGCAACCTATTAAGTTCCCTTTTAAATTCCAACCCCATCATTTGTTCTCCCATCTTTTGTAATTTTTTCTTTGGTAAATAGTTTTATTCATCCAAGTTTTCAAGGAATCTAAACAGTTATTGTTACATCTTTCTTTAAACTTGCACACACCACTGAAATAATAAAAATCTCATGAAGACATATATACTAGTATTTTTCAAATAATATTATTTTGTTTAATTAAAGCCAATTCTTTTAAAACATGATGGACATCATAATGACCCTGTCATTGTGTTTTCCAATCAAATATTCTATCCTGTGTATTGGTGAAATTCTATGGATACAAGTGACAAAGTCACTAAATCCTTTGGCTCTTGCTCCATAAAAATCTCTTGAGATGTTGAACCTTTTACATCTCACTTACTGTTTTCCTCATTTACAACTTTTCATCTTGTTCTGGCTAGTCTCTGTTTACCTCCCTCTGTTCATTCTGTATTCTTTGTGTTTCTCAGTGCCCCAGTGTGCTGACTTCTTTGGAGTTTTCCTTGTCCCTTGACTTCCGATTGAATTTGGCTTGAAGGCATGAGAAGGATTTGGAGCTTGGAAATAAAGAGAGATGGACTGAACTTTGCTTTCTAATTACAGTTTCTCCCTTGATTCCAGCTCTCAACCAGACTTTCATAATACCTAAGGATTGATAAACATTGAAGGAAGTAATGGTTTCACATTCTTGCTAGTTCTAAACTACCTTGCTAGTACTACCCACATCTCAGTAAATATTTTCTTCACTAAAATGTCCTTTTATACAACTTAGGTGGCGCCCTCTTTATTATCAAAGCACAGAATAATACACACACACACACACACACACACACACACACACACACACACACACACTATTCCAAGCCATTTAAATAGTCTGCAATTTATTCGACATCTATGCTCTTCCCTTCTACCCTACGTTCATTACAAAACATCCTTCACATGCACAGAGTATCTGCTCTCAATGCAAGCAATGTCTTTCTCCTGAGCAAAATCTTCAATATTGCCCAACATCACTAATAGTAGTCTCAAACCTGAGAATTATTGCAAATAGACTACAAATATTTAAACATGAAAGCATTTTCATGGAAAAATCAAAGTCGTACATAATATTATTTAATTAAATTACATTTTTTGGATTAATCAAATGCCTGCTTACTTAAAACATGACTGGCTTCATATTTACTTTGTCATTGTGTGTTTTTTGAGGCAATCAAATCTTCCATCATAGATTTTTAAATAAAGTTCATGGAGGGCATGAAGGGAGGGCAGTGGGAATGGGGAAGAAATAAGAATCAAGATACATCATGTAAAGGTACAAGATACCAATGATGAATGTAAATGTATTGTATATCTAAAATGTACCAATAAATGCAATGGAAAAATAAAGTTCACATCTAAAAGATAGACTCTAGACTCTAATTTTCTAGTTTACTCTATTGCCACTCACATGCATTTACATACCACCCAGGCATCTCCGTCTCTGACCTTTGTTTTAGGTAATCTCCATCCTGTCTGAAAGATACCCATAGTGCTTAATGGCCTTTTAATGGCAAAATCCCTTTCATCTTCCAAAGAAGAAATACTTCATTAAAAACCAATAGTCTAGAGTTTAAGAATTGTATGTCCATTATCTCATTTAATACGTATTATAATTAGAGAAGTGAAGTTTAAGGACTTGTACAAAAATTAAGATGTGAAATCAGACTTGAAACTAAACCTGCACCATAAAAACTAAACTATATTTTCGAATAAGATGCTAGTGCAAAACTTCAGGAAATGATTTACTCTTTGCAAGCTTTTGATGCCTCCATAGTTTTAATTCATGGTCTCTAGTACATACTTCCTCATGCTGCATTGGCATGATTTTATCTCTCCCACTATTATATTCTTAAGGATGGGAAATTTAGCTTGCATTTTATTTGCCTTTCCTTTTTTTTTTTAGATAGTCTCACTATATTCCCAAGGTTTGCCTCAAAATCTAGGTTCAAGCCATCCTCCTGCCCCAACCTCCTGAATAGCGGGTACTACAGTGAACCACCAAGCACAAAGCCCAGACTTTTTCATTTTTGGTACCAGAATTTAATAGGCTGTCTGAGTATTTAATATAGAACAATATATCATAATTATTAATGTATTCTAAAAGAATGACATTATTTTAACATTAAAATAAAGCAACATCTATTAGGAATTGTTCCATTGTAATATTTCCAAAAGTGCTCATTTTTATATATCCTTGACACAATAGTAGGTAGGTATTTACATAGTCTGACGTCAGACTCTGTCACTGAGGCAAACTGACAATCTTTTCCGGTTTTTTATTGTCTTGGTTAACTAAAAATGAGTAACTAAATATATGTACCAAGAATCCTTCATTTTTCTGTTAACTTTAATGGATTTAGTATACATATCTGTGCTGAAAGTACTTTTGTAACCAATCATATATTGTAAATTACTTATACACTGAAAACCATTAGTTACCTAGATGTCTACAT